AATGGACACGGGCGTGTGTGTGACTTTTTACCCATGGACATGCCCGCCCGAGACCTGAAGACGTCATGGGCAATAGACGGGTTTCATTTTTTACCTGTGGGTAACCTATGTTCGACCCGATACATATGTATTAGCTAATTTCAACTCATTTCTTAATTCTTATACCATTTCTCTTGGTTCATTTGTGATACTAACTGATACTAAGTTGTGATCAACTTGTGATGTAATTCAAATTATTGTTGATAACCGATAATTTGGTAAATTATTGATTTTATTACTCTTTGATAAATTACATATCTTTCAAGTTGTTATTCATATGAGATCCATTGGGTACCCGGCCCACTAGGCATAGGTACGGGAATGGAGTTTTGTCCGCTAACTCTAATGGGTAGTGTTCGGGTGGGCAATGTCATGCATCGGGTCGGGCATGGTTTTCCTCTACCCATACCCGACCCGGCCCATTGCCATCCCTACTAGCCAGCCACCACGGCGCTTATCCGTACGATTATTCCTAGAGCATTGCCTACATTTCGAAAAGAAAAAAAATGATTCCTATACGAAAATGCTATACACACGACTGTGACATACGACTCTTATCCGACCAGCTCTTAGCTGCTAATTGCCCTGGTCCACATGGAGAGAAGCTGGTCTGCGTGGAGCGAAACGATTGGCAGGTGAGGTTGGGTAAGATGGGAGTCGGACGTATTGCAGTGCTGATTCCTATAACATGCCTGGTCGCTAGCTTTTGGTTCTCATAATCGATCTCATCAATCACAATTGTCCAGACAGTGGTCCCGTTGATCTCTTAACCTTAGGCGTGCCTTGGTGTCGTAGCAACCGTACACATTCGCAAGAAAACCACAAGAAACTAAATTAGGAAAAAGGGGCTGTCGCTGCCAGGGCGTACCTACTAATTAAGGCCTAACATAGATCCTTAAATATCGTTAAACCTTTTTACAGTTATAATATACTCGCTCCGTCTCATAATATAAGAGATTTTAAATAGATATGTGACACTTTTTAAGGCTACGAATCTAGACAAGTGTTATATCCCTCTAAGATCATTTATATTATGAGATGGTGCGAGTATGTATCTATGTGGGACACCCCGACCAAATTACACTAGCCACCCGAGAAAAGACGTTGCACGAGCTAGATGAGCATGAAAGATTTCAGTCATTTTCTTTCTAGGTTCGCTAGCGTCGTTAATTAACTAGCGAAGAAGGAAAAGTGGTAATAAAAAACTAGAATCAGGAAGAAAACTATACATAAATAATATTAAAATAACATCAATATCATTATCTAACTCGTTGAGGCGCTACTGGGATGGGAGACATAATGACAAATTTATAATTAAGAAGGTAAATATAATATACTCTCAACAAGGATGAGAGGAGAAGAGCATTTCTAATGAGTGCAGTATATAATGTACTACTACTACTCTCTCAATGTTACTGTAGCCTTCGTGGTTTGATATTTTTAATAGGTTTGATTAACCAGCCCTTATTATTCCCTTGATTGATTCACGGAGCTATTGTTCTAACTTTAAATAAAACAATATAATAAAAGAACAATATTTAAAACGCAAATCAACTCATGTAGATTAGATCATTAAAATAGTTGACAGTTAATTACTCCATCCATTTCTAAATATTTGACGCCGTTGACTTTTCTAAATATGTTTGACTGTTCGTCTTATTAAAAAATTAAATAATTATTTATTTTCCTATTATTTGATTCATTGTTAAATATACTTATATGTATATATATAGTTTTATATATTTTACAAAAGTTTTTAAATAAGACGAATGATCAAACATGTGCTAAAAAGTTAACGGTGTCAAATATTTAGAAACAAGAGTAGTTCATTTTAAGGTTCCACAAATGGGTTGTCTTTTTTTTCCTTCTTAATTGATCGGCAGGGCTCTTTGCCTTCTCGTTCAAAGAAACAAAAAGAAGCTGAAAATATTGTACCAATATCCCATTTTCAATCATGCTTGCATCATTTTCCTTTTTTTTTCTTTTCTCCTCGGACGAATCATGTTTGCATATATCGTTCGATTGCTCCGTGCGTTAGAAAACCAATCCGATTGCTACTCTTCATGAGGTCACGTGCTATCTCTTTCTGACTTTCTCCCATCGCACGGTTACACACTACACCGTCTCGCACCCGTCGATCGGTTGCGTCCGCCGGCTCACCCTTCCCCCCCAAAAAAATGACGGATGGACGACGCAAAAAAGTGACACAACGACGCCCTATCCGATTCCAACCAGCGCCCGCGCGCGACGTGGACACGCTCACAAGCACGCACATACGCATCCATTCCCCGCCACGCGCACCCCGATAATACGCATGTGTTCGCCGCCACCCACCATCGCGCGAGCCATCAGCGTCGCCCATCGGACACCGGATTGGATGCGTGATACGTACTCCCTACGTCTAAAAAAAAGGCAAACACTGAGTTTCCGTGTCCAACTTTAACTGTCCGTCTTATATGAAATTTTTTTATAATTCGTATTTTTATTATTGTTAAATGATAAAACATGATTAATATTTTATGCATAACTTGTCTTTTTATTTTTTTTATATTTTTTTAAATAAGACGAACGGTCAAACGTTGAGCACGGAAATCAGGTTTGTCTTTTTATTTTTGGACAGAGGAAGTAGGGAGTAGTACTTCGTACTATTACTACTACTAGGTGTGGTATGCGTGGCCGGTCACCACGCAAAAGCCGCGAAGCGAGCGATCGATCAGCGGAGGTCAACCGTGCCCGCCGAACCACGTACGCAGATGGATTCGGCAGCGGCCGGCGACAAGGACCGGGCGCTTCGTCGTTACACGACCAATAATAATCAGCTTGTTCATCCTGCAGCCCGGGCAGGCAGGAAGCTGCGAGGAATGAGGAATCCGAGCCCACGGGTAACGCTTAAATGCTTAATTCCTGCAGTTCTGCACGGTGTTCGGCTCTAAATTTTTCGGGAGTACGAAAGCGACAGCAAAGCGAAAATACTAATAAAGTGACCACAGTGCTCGATAGTGTACGTTTGTAGTGCTACGAACCTGTTATATGTTTTTCCGGAGAATACCGTCATTTTTGGGACCGTACCAGCCGAGCCCCCAACGAAAAGCTCGAATGATTGAACTTGAACTTCCGTCTCGGCGTATTGCTGATGACGCCATCGGATGGCGGCTGGGGTTGGATGGTTTGTACTGTGGGGCGGTGGGGGTGATGGCGATCGGCGGTAAGAGCGTGACCGTGGCCTGGCCGTGCCCGCCTGCTGGCCGAACATGGGCGAATAGAAGTAAATATTGATTATTGACAGTGATTGTTAGTATCAAATGAAACAGTTTTGGTAGGCATAGCCGCATAGGCATGAAATTTTCGTTATCATATTTTTTAAATTGTTGAATGGTGCATTTGCACTAAAACTTTCTACTTCCTCCGTCTAAAATAAACTTAACCTTGAAGAGGATGGGACCATCCTGGATAAAGAATTTGGACAACCTCCTTTGTCGAGATTCCCCTCTTAGGTTAAGTTTTTTTTCGACGGAGTGAGTATATAATAGCTGCTTTAATGTATTATATAAAATATTTTTAAAGTTTATCTATAGTAGTAATAATTAAAATGTAATTAACTATGAGCTAATGACATTGTTGTTTTTTTCCATAACTTCATCTCCATCTTAAGTAGAAACGAACACTACCTAAGTGGGTAGTGTCTCATGAGAAAAATTCTTTAGATGAAATTCTAGCGAAGTTATATATATATATATATATATATATATATATATATATATATATATATATATATATATATATATATATATGTGAGATTATGTGGAATTTGACGAAATTCATGAGTTTTGAGCTAATTATTCAATGAGCCATGTTCCGACCGGTGAACTTTCATAAACAACTTAGGTTGTGTTAAATCCAGATGTAAAGTTTTGACGTGTCACATCGGATATACGAATACATATTTGAAGTATTAAATATAGTCTAATAACAAAATAAATTACAGGATCCACCTGTAAACCGCGAGATGAATTTATTAAGCCTAATTAATCCATCATTAGCAAATGTTTACTGTAGCACCACATTGTCAAATCATAGCGCAATTAGGTTTAAAAGATTCGTCTCGTAATTTACATGCAATCTATGTAATTAGTTATTTTTTCGTCTATATTTAATACTCCATGCATGTGTTAAACATTTAATGTGATAGGGTGTGAAATTTTGCTAAGGGATAAAAAGGATCTTACAGGCATAAAATACATGACTAATAATGGCTGAAGCGAAAAAGGATAAATACACCAGATTTAACTGTGGTAGCTACAATATCTCTAACTTTCCTGTCAATAGGTTTGATTAGACTCGGGCAAAGCAGGAACACACCTGATCCAAGACCCGATACCTCTTGGACAATCGGAGCACGATAGTATTAGCAGGCAAAAATCAACGCCCACGTCGGTGTCGGGTGCGTATTTAAAAACATCGATAATATATGCATGGCTAGATAACTAAACAGAGATTATGAATCAGCACATATGATTTGGGAGCATCATGTCAGACATGTCGAACACATGCCCGTGCCTATCGAACACAGTATCCGTGGGTAAAATCGCTATCGCTGCTCAGTCCAAAGTAGACGGAGCTAAAATAAAATAAAGAGAGATGCCACTCATTTAATTTGTTTTATTTTAGATCGAATTTAAACTGATATAAGCGTCTGAGTTTAAATTAAGTGAGTGCATATTTAATGAAAATAAATAAACTATATCTAAAAAATTTTCTTAACCGGTTCTTGACTATCCTATCTCCTAGCTTCACCCCCTCCCAAAATTTCTTGGTTTAGCCACACCAACCAACTCGCAGGGAACCCAAACAAAGAAAGCGGCTTGAACCGGATGGACCGTGGGTGTGTGAGAAGGCCCCCACGGCAACTACGTGGCGAAGAGGCGAAGACCGCACCCCGTCGAAGTCTTTCCCCCGGAGACATTTCCGCCATGCTGCTAAAATAAGTGGGCACGCCGTGCGCGCGTGCGTGCGTTCGAGCGGCGGCGCGCGCGCGGCAACTCCCGCACCCGCTCCGAACCTTCTCCCTCCTCACGAAGCTCACCGCGAAGCCGGCAAAATCCTCCCGGAGAGAGAGACACAAACACAACACAACCAGCTCCCCCGCGCCCCGCGTGCGATCGATCACGATCGATCTCATCCCTCTCGATCGCCTACTACTACCAGTACAAATCCACCCCGCCACCACTACATCATCCCCTCATATCCATGCAGATTTAGCGCCAATCCTTATAAATACGGAGCTTTCGCGCCGGCCTCGTACTCGGCCATGGCGGCAGTCGGCGCGCACGCAGCGGTCTACCACCACCCGGTCTCGGGCCTCTCGGCGCCGGCGGGCGACGCCGCCTACTCGATGTCATCGTACTTCTCCCACGGGGGAAGCTCGACCTCCAGCTCCGCGTCCAGCTTCTCCGCCGCCCTCGCCGCCGCAACGACGCCGCCGCTTCCCGACCCGTCGGGGTCGCAGTTCGACATCTCCGAGTTCTTCTTCGACGACGCGCCTCCGGCCGCCGTGTTCAATGGCGCGCCCACCGCCGCGCTGCCGGATGGCGCCGCCGCAAACGCAACAAGGTGAGTGGCTAGCGGCGTGTGTCACTTGTCAAGTAGAGTACTACTCTCAAGTGTGCAATCACCTGTTCATTTGGTCTGAATTGGGGGCATTTGATCGGGAAAATTCAGGAGCGCGGCGGAGGCGGTGCCGGCGCCGGCGCCGGCGGCCGTGGAGAGGCCGCGGACGGAGCGGATCGCGTTCCGGACGAAGTCAGAGATCGAGATTCTTGACGACGGCTACAAGTGGCGCAAGTACGGCAAGAAGTCCGTCAAGAACAGCCCCAACCCAAGGTACTAACTAACCAACTAAACCAAAATCATATCCCCTTCACAAAATTCAAGATGATCATATCATCATCATAAATCATCCCGTCGTCGTCGTCGTCGCCATCACTTCGATCATCAAATACACCGATGATGCAATTAATCACGCGAATTCCATCGTCATATACTATATGTGCAAGTGCAAGTCTCTTTCCTGGCAATGAATGAATGGACATCGCTAACTAACAGCGATCGATCGATTGTGCGTTGCAGGAACTACTACCGGTGCTCGACGGAAGGGTGCAACGTGAAGAAGAGGGTGGAGCGGGACAAGGACGACCCGAGCTACGTGGTGACGACGTACGAGGGGACGCACAACCACGTGAGCCCCAGCACGGTGTACTACGCCAGCCAGGACGCCGCCTCCGGCCGCTTCTTCGTCGCCGGCACGCAGCCGCCAGGTTCTCTCAATTAACCGCGCGCGTACGGTTAATTTGATCGATCGGGTCAGCCATGGGACTTTTCCAATGCTAGCTAGCTAATAGTGTAGGTGTTCTGGGCCGGATTCTTGATCGAGATAGCAGCCTCTTGATTGAGATGCCCAGATGGGTCATTTTGGATGTAGCTGGATCTTTTTTTCCCCTTTTCTTCTCTCGATCTCTGTCCCGTCCTTTTTGCCTGTTTCGATCATTGGAAGGCCGGGCCGGCCTGGCTGGTTTGCAGCGATAGTGATCAAATGCTGTGCTGCTGTGTTTCTGTGCTCTTGAGGATCCTCCCAACTATCCCCCTTGAGCCTAGGTAATATAGCCATGGGAAATGTAACATATATATACTGTTTAACCGTGCAATAAAAATGTACAGAGCTTGAAATTTTGGTTGTATGTTATGAAGGACTTTTAAATATTCTACTCAGACTTGAATTTGTTGTTGCATTGCATGTTTAATTGATTCCCTCAATAACCACCATCTGAAACATTTACCTACACCTGGATTTCTATCTGTCTTTCTTCTCAAGATTTTCTCTAATGTTATTTCTCTTTATGTCCAAACATAAATCAACTAGTTTTTTGCGAACACGCAGAAGGATTGCACGTCAATATATTAAAAGAAAAATAATTTTAGGTAACATAAATCAACTAGTGGCAGGGATGAAAACGTTATTGGAAATTCCCGACTGATTGAACGTTATTTCCATACAATTAAGTGATACCGTTTTTTATCTTAGCCAATATAAAATATGTTTTTCTTAAAAGAAATATTTTAGCATCGTATTGCTTGTTGACACTAAATAGTTAAATGGTTCCCGACCGTTTTCACGTACAATTTTACATGAAGCTATATTTTAAAAGTATAATTGGATTTAATATACAACTCTTGCTTTATGTTCCTATATACTCACACTTATATTTTATATACAAATTATATCTATCAATTTGCACCATTCTATCTAGACAAATACAACCACAAATCAAAACGCTGCATAACTTTGTTTAATCAGATTAATGTGGTGATTTATACCTTTTTAGAATGAATATAATACATAAACATTGTATTATATATCACAAACCATTTTAATTAAAGTTATGCAAACATTGTGTCGTCTATGGCTACGCCGTTCACCATTGTTCCATATTTTTTCATTCAGTAATATTATAAACTAATACAACTTAGATAAAAAGAGTAATCCTATATATCTATAAAGCTCATCCACGCTAAGTGTAGTTAATAATATTTCTCTTATATCTCATTAAATCACATCACCTCAATTGTTCCTAGCACTTGGATGATTGATCCATGGTTCAAATTATCTCCATTCATTTCTTCCCCTATAAAGTCATACTACCTTAGATTTGTCTTTGGATGATTAATCTATATTAATTATCTCCCTTGTTTTCCTTCTATCATTGAGACACATCATCTTAGTTTACTTTTGAATGATAAACCTATATATGACTTAAGTTGTTATAAACCAATTCATCTTAATCGTTTACAACTTTTTGATGATCGATTAAAGATGAAAATTATATAAAACATATAAAGTTATTTATATGTTGTCTTATATTTTTTTAATACTATTATACATAATTCCTGCTGTAACGCGCGGGGTTTCATTTAGTTAGCTATAGTAAACATCAAAAGTCTAATACTGTTGCTAAACAAGATTGCAATAATCTAACTTAATGCTAGAAGAATACACTACATGAGAGGCTTTAGTGATACATATACCTTTTTTAATTAATTTAGCATTAGTGATTATAAAGTTTTAAACGTTAAATTAATTTTCTGGCCGAAGGGAGTATATAGGTCTTGTTTGAGTGTAAAATTTTGAGAAGCAGCGGGTAAGAAGCTAGTTGAGAATTTAGAAAAGCTGACAAACCCAACTTTTGGCTTCTAATTCATTTTCTGGATTCTATAACTGTAACTTTTCAGAATATAGATGAAAATATAAACTGTTTGGAAGTTAGCTTCTGAAAATTTTAGGAGAAGCTACCGCTACAAAGCTTCACCAAACATGCCCATAATCTCCCTGCGTTTCCCTTGTCTCGTGTGTGGCCGTGGGCCGTGGCGTCCTCTACAGTCCACACCACACAGGACAGCAGCCACGCTCGCAGACGCACCCGTAGTCCCCCCGTCCAGGGGACCAGGAGCCAGGACACAAGTTACAAGTTACTACGGCACAGAGCCACAGAGGCAGACTGGTGGCAGTGGCAGAGCACGCCGCCCCGGGCTCCGGCTCCCCTCCTCCTCCCTACATGCTCGCGCGGCCGCACCATCCGGCGCCAAACCCTCCTCCCTCTCTCTCCGCGTCATTTTGGGCTTTTCTGGCGAAAATGCCACGGCGGCGCTGGACCGGTGGCGCCGTCGCGGCGAGCAGCATCCCTCTCTTCCCCATCCCACCCCCCGCAGCGCCAAAAATAGATGGCACTCGCGCCTCGCCTCTCTGCTTCCGCGCCCCACCTCTCGATCGCCCCCTTCCTCCTCCTCCTCCTCCCCCTCCCCTTCCCTCTCCCCCACGCGACCTCGCTGCTGGCATCGCGCGCCACCGCACGCGCTGGATCGATCGAAGGCCTGGCCGCGCCTTCCGCCTCCCCCCCCCCCCACGGCCGCCGATACCGACGACGGAGGCGCCGGCGGCCCGATTCTACCCCCCACCCCTGCACTGGTCGGCGATCGTTGCTTCCCCCCTCCCGCGGTGATCGCGCGCGACACCCATGGTGAGTTGTCTGTGCTGGGGCTACTGGCTGTCTGGCTGCTAGATGATGAGATGAGGGGTGATGCTAATGTTTCATTGTTTTTTCGTTCGGTCCGATGTCGCTACGCGCCGTGCGGCCGCGGTGTGTTGCGCGGGCATTGGGGTTGCCATGCTGGTTTGTTAGTTTCTCTGTTAGCATTGGGTTTGGAGAGAAATGTGAGGTTTCTGTGTTCGCGTAGTTGGGGGGAATTTTTTGTGAATGACCACTTTGGCTCTAGAGGAACCGATGGACGACGGGTGACTCGATTAGTGTGAGTTGTTCATTGCTCCCGATGAACGGACATGTTTTCCATTTTTAATCTCGTGTGTGTAGGATAGCTGAAGCGTTTGATTTGTGGCGACCAGGAAGCAAAGCTGTACGCCGGAAAGGATTTTTTTAAAAATTTTAAAAAAGCCAGTTCCGTCTACTCATTTTAGATATGAATATGAGAATAAGCCTTTTTTTTTTTTAAGTTCAAGTGTTCTCTGAATTTGCTCAATATAAGTATTGCTTCACTAGCCCACTTTGTCAGGACACACTCTTTCTTCTATGTGCCACCATATTGGAATAGAGATTAGAGAAGTGTATGCTGCAATTAGTTTTCACTCATATCTAGTTTGGTGATGAGTCCATAACTTCCTACATTTGTCTTGAAATCAGATTCTGTATAATCGTGACCAAATATGTGATGAACTAGGTGCTCTTATTTCAATTCATGGTAGTACAGCACTGGTGCTAAGAATTTAGTTTATCTAATATCTTTGCTCTAGAATTTACGCCTTAAAGCATATGTCTCATGAATTTGTTTTCTGATTCTATGCTTTTTGGGTCGGTATGATCATGTATCCTTTCATGGTTTGACACGGCATTCTTAGATTTATTAAACTATGCATGTCCATTTCAACAGTGATCCATGCCTCATTCTGCTTTGTACTCCATGTTATATATCTATTGTATCATTAAAAGTTTAAAACAGTAGTTATAAATTATGGAATTAATTTGATGAAAAAAAGAAAAGGATCCTACACCAGCATAATATTCATTTTAGTGGGTCCTAAATATAACAACGTAGATAAGAAATACAATGCATTTCATCAACAAGCACATGAGTTCTATGGCAAATACAAACATACCATTGTATGTAAGTGTGCAAGGTGAGGCTAGTTATTTATAGTATACTTCTAGTAGTGTTTTTACAATTCCTTTTGGCATCTTTTGGAACACAAACTTTAGATATAAATCTATGCATCCATTTACCTATTAACCTTGATTTTTTCCCTGGCATGTTGGATTTTTGTGACTTGTGGCTTGTGCAGGCTGCCACATTAAAAATTGTTCTTGGCTCCCATATATGGCTGGAAGATAAAGATTTAGCTTGGATTGATGGTGAGGTCTTCCGAATTGAGGGTCAAAAGGCCCATATCCGCACTACCAACGGAAATATGGTATTTGTAGCTGATATCAGATACTATTTGTTTTCTTTTGCACCTTAACTTCTTCATCATTAATTATTATTACCATCATCATTGATGAAAAAGTAGTGTGTGCATGGTTATGCTCTTATTGCAAATTAAAATTGGCACAGTTGTCAATAAATCCATAAAGTAACAGCCTTTATATTTTAGTGCTGAAATCACTGGAAACTATTTCAATTAAGAGTGTAACTAATTAGCCATAAAAACACCTATAAACTATCCATTTTCAACATCGAATAAAATCTAATCGTTTGAGAAATAACAATTATCAGAACAGACTGAACACGCTTTCAAGTTTTTTCTTTCTTTTGGTTTGAACTTTGAACTGCATCAAGGATGCAAAGCCGTTCCTGTTTATATATAGTTTAATAATATGATCCGTACTACTGTTATTCACATATATCGCATGATCTATATTGATATATTTCATGTCATGAAACTTGCTTTGTTACTTCAATTCTGTGAAACCAGGTTGTTGCGAGCATATCAGACATTCATCCAAAGGACACAGAAGTGCATTCTGATGGAATTGATGATATGATAAGACTATCATACTTGCATGAGCCTGGTGTTTTAAACAATCTATCTGTTCGATATGCAAAAAATATAATTTACGTGAGTATTTGCATACTCAAACATATCATCATAAGTAGCCAAAGAAAAACAAGTTTGTGGCTTTGTGCAACCCTCTCCTTTCTTTTCTGATTCTACTTTTTTTTTTTTGAATTCCAGACCTATACTGGTAATATATTGATTGCAATCAATCCATTCCAAAGGTTGCCTCATCTTGCTGAACCCCATACTATGGAGAAGTACAAAGGTGCAAATTTCGGTGAGCTAGACCCTCATGTATTTGCAATTGCTGACATTTCTTACAGGTAATTCCCTAGAATGCTATCGATGTATATTTCTTTAAAATAACAGGTGGAGGTACCAATAATGATGGCATCTTTTCTGGCATTCTTTTGAATAAGGAAACAGGCAAATGATGAATGAGAGAAAGAGCAACTCCATATTGGTGAGTGGTGAAAGTGGTGCTGGCAAGACTGAAACCACAAAGATGCTTATGAGATATCTTGCATTTTTGGGTGGACGGTCTAGAACAGGAGGGAGGACAGTTGAACAACAAGTTTTAGAAGTAAGTTAGGGATCATTAATATTTTTCAGTCCTTCACATTGTTAAGAACAATATATCTGTCCTTCCAAATGGAAGTGAAGGCTTTTAAAAGTGATGTGTTACTTTTGCCTGGACTAATCCTTCATACTTAATTGTGCTTTGATGTAGTCTAATCCAGTCCTTGAAGCTTTTGGCAATGCAAAGACTGTTCGGAACAATAATTCAAGGTGTTTGTTTTACACTCTCAGTTGGAATCTTGGAAGATAATTAATTCACAATTTATTAAGTACAGCATATTACTATTCCTAAGCAAGAAACAAAGCTGCTTATCCTACGTCCCCCCCCCCCCCTCTCTCACGGAGAAAAAAAAACCTGTGGAACCAAAAATCCATTTTGTTCTTCTTTTTTTTTGCATTAATAATATTTGCTCACACATGTACTTACTATTTTTTATAACATGGTCAAGCCGGTTTGGCAAATTTGTTGAAATCCAGTTTGACAAGAGTGGGAAGATATCTGGTGCTGCCATTAGAACATACTTACTTGAAAGATCACGTGTTTGTCAAATCAATAGTCCAGAGAGAAACTACCATTGCTTTTACTTCCTATGTGCAGCACCATCGGAGGTATATTTCCTAACTCAATGTGATTAACAAGCTGGGTCTGTGTTATTTATTATTGAATAAACCCAAATGGCAGGAAATTAGAAAGTATAATCTGGGTGACCCTTCGTCGTTTCACTATCTCAACCAATCTACTTGCATTAAAGTTGATGGGATTAGTGACAATGAGGAGTATCTTGCAACAAGAAGTGCTATGAATACAGTTGGCATAACTGAGCAGGAGCAGGTCTCAAGTTCCAACACCTTTCAAGCCACTAAATAACAATACAATTGTTATTCTATGTGCATATGAGTAGGCATTCTCACTTATTTCAAGTAACACACTGATAATGCAGGAGGCTATATTCCGAGTTGTTGCTGCTGTGCTTCACCTTGGGAACATCAATTTTGTGAAAGGGAGAGAGGTAGATTCATCTGTAATAAAGGATGAGAAAGCTAGGTTCCATCTTAATGCAGCTGCAGAGCTTTTGATGTACGTCTAATGCCCACCTGTTCTATAGTAATCTTCAAAATTTCTGTTTCAAATTTCACTGTTTATACTGTATTACTCCTCATTGTGGAGTTCTTACTGCAGGTGTGATCATGGGAAGTTAGAGAATGCACTGATAAAGAGGAAAATAAATACACCAGAAGGAGTGATTACCACAACAGTTGACCCTAATTCTGCCACAGTTAGCAGAGATGGCTTAGCCAAACAAATATATTCTCGACTATTTGACTGGTAATCTTTATAACTCTGTGATTTGTTCCTCCCTGAATTGTAAGTGTATGAGACTGTAATGTGTGCAGGCTTGTAAGCAGACTAAACGCATCAATAGGACAAGATGAGAACTCTCAATATTTGATCGGCGTGCTTGATATCTATGGTTTTGAAAGTTTCAAGACTAATAGGTAATTTTTTAACTAAATGCTGATTCAGTTTACCATTGAAGATCATTTATGGAAGTCATATGTTTATTCATGACTGAAACAGCTTTGAACAATTATGCATCAATTTCACCAACGAAAAACTCCAGCAGCATTTTAACCAGGTACATTAGTAAAACATGTTTGGATGTTCATGATATTAGACTCTTTTTGCTTTTTAGATAAAGACTCTCTTTTCTTAGTGTTTGGTAAAATGAGAGCTTCTATTGGCAGAATGTCTTCAAAATGGAGCAGGAAGAGTATAACCGTGAGCAGATCGATTGGAGTTACATAGAATTTGTTGACAACCAAGACGTGTTGGACTTGATTGAAAAGGTATGTAGCATTTGTTTTATATAATGTGCTTAGCCTTGTACTTCCCCAACCTTCTGGTGGTCATTGTCATTTGTCAGCAAGACAGATAAATCATTTTAAGAAAAACACATGAAGTTACTTGTTGCTAACCTGTCAGTACTCTGGTACTGGTTCACATATAGGTATCTGTTCTGTTGTTTGTGAATATAATACTGGTATAAACCTGTGCTTTTCTCCCAGATGTCACTTTACGGATCAAATAGAGTACAATATACTCCTCCCGTCCCAAAATATAGCAACTTCTAGTGTTTGAAATTTGTCCCAAAATAGAGCAACTTCCCCACCTACTTCCTCATCTCAACCATCCCTCATTTAATTTCATCTGTCTTCTTAATCTCCGTAAAAACTCCAAAGTGCTTATATTTTGGGATGGAGGGAGTAGTATGCTTTTTTGCTTTCACCGACAATTGTTTCTGTACTGTGGTTTTGAGGCTTGGGGTTGTTGGTTTTTTCGTAGTTGTTAACTAATCATCATGACTTCATGTTGTGCAGTATGGTTGGTTACGGAAAACTGCAAAGTGGGAAGCACCGACTGTTATGTATTGGCTAGGGTAAAGGATCCTAAGACCGGGGGATAGGGCACTCGCCCTCTAATAGCAGCGGCAGGGCTTCTCCCTACCGAGCTAAAAGAGGCTCTGAGGCTTAGGGCAACTTTAGAGATTCATTGATTGATGAAACTGCTAATGCGCGATCGATCGCCCCAGGCGATCGGTCCCCTGCCTCACCCTGTATCTTTTTTTGGCACCGCTTTATCTTTCAGTTTTAGTAATTTTATACACCTAAAGTTTATACACATCAAGTTTACACATATAAATCTTATGGAGGGGACTACCGATCGGGTGCCCGATCCATACGTGCAAAAATCGGGCGATGACGTTAGCATGACGTCAGCGCCACGCATACGTGCAAAACCATTTAAAACTAATTTTTCTCTTAAATTATTTATCCAAATCATGATCCGATTGCACCATTAAATTCGTTGCAATTAAATCTTCAAAACAAGACCACAAATGGATATATTCCGGCGGAATTTTTTTTTAGCCTATTATTGAATTATTTTTAAATGTTGCACGATGTTCCACCAAGTATATTGGAATTGTTTCACTAAATAGATCGAAAATGTTTCAAACGTTTAAATCGGGCGTTGTTTCACCTTATATAAAAACAATGTTTCAGCAAATAATGAAAGAATGTTTCAGTTCACTGCAACATTAGATCTATACATAGTGAAACATTCTGAGTATACTAGGTAAAACATTTTTGGTGGAAACAAAAAATAAAACGAATTCCTTTAATAGAGGGTTTCCAAAATATGTGGGTGATTTGTTGCAAAATAATGTTTCGTTCAATGCAACATTAGATCTATACATAGTGAAATATTGTGAGTACACTAGGTGAAACATTTTTGGTGGAACAAAAAATGAAACGAATTCTCTTAATAGAGGGTTTCAAAAATATGTGGGTGATTTGTTGCAAAAGAATGTTTCAATTCACTGGAACATTAGATTTATATATAGTGAAACATTGTGAGTATACTAGGTGAAACATATTTGGTAGGGACACGTGGTAGGTGGAGGCAGGACAAATGGTGGGGCCCAGGGGGCATGCGCGTCGCGGGGGAGAGCGCCCGATTTCGCTCCCCCCGCGCCGGTCGCCCGAGGCGAAGAATTTTCGAAATCTTATACACCTAAAGTTTGTACACTTAAAGTTGGTAGACCTAAAGTTTATAAGTCAAAAGTTTATATACTAGATTCAAAATCATCTTTAAATGTATTTGAATTCAAATTTAAATTTAAATCGGTATATAAACTTTTGACCTATAAATTTTAGATGTGTAAACCCTAGATGTATAAACTTTAGGTATATAAACCTAAAAAAATATATATGGTAAAAAGGGAAAAGCGGTGAAAAAAGTGATCGCCTGAGGCGATCGATCGCTAATTAGCGATCCCCATTGATTGATTGACAATATAGTACATGGGGTCCTTTTATATATAGGGAGGACAGGCTTGATATCTAAGGAACTAATCTATAGTATTATAGAAACCAATCCAATCTTTATCTCAAAACTTTCTAATAAACCTCATCTCTTTCCTAACTAGATAATCTCCTACCTTTATATGACTTATTCCTAATTTATCATGCCTAAACTGCTGCATGGGCCTTGCCCGTGCCCATAACACCAACATATTTGTGCATACTAGATATAGTTGTCTTTTCTCTGTTTAAGTTCAATATTGTTCATATCTCCTTTTATTTTCAGAAACCTGGTGGGATTGTTGCACTTCTTGATGAAGCTTGGTTAGTGTTTAAACCCTTCTTCGATGGACTGCATGCAACAGGCAGCTCGTGAAAATAATTGCTTCTTTGTTATAATCAACATTGCTATATCTATTTCTGAATTAGTAGTTCTGACAATGATTCATCATTCTTTCATTCTTTTCTCTATCCTGTGTGCACCAGTATGTTTCCTAAATGTACACATGAGTCATTTTCTCAGAAGCTGTACGAGAAGTTCAAGAACCACAAAAGGTTTAGCAAACCAAAGCTTTCTCGTACTGCATTTACAATCCAACATTATGCAGGAGAAGTGAGCATTCTGTCACAACATAGCATTCTTTGCTTATATGCATTTGATTAAGCATATTCCTTTTAATCCCTTGATATCATTGCAGGTAACATATCAGTCTGATCATTTCCTGGACAAAAACAGAGATTATGTAGTCGTAGAACATCAAGAGTTGCTTAATGCTTCCACGTGCTCCTTTGTGTCAGGGTTATTCCCATCAGTACAAGAGGAGAACACAAAATCTTCAAAGTCCTCAATTGCTAATCGTTTTAAGGTATGATCCTGCTAGTTCAATTTTGTTCTCTAGACTCTAAATTCAGGTAAAAGCCTTACTATTATGCAAACTGTATTTAATAAGGACATACATAGTGAAAATTATTAGCTGGGTACTATTATGCAAACTAACTTGGCCTTGAGCATAAAAATAGAATTTAGCCATTAAATTTCTCAGTGTAGCCTGCCTACGTAATAAAAAAGGATCTACGCGGAAAGTTCCGATTGAAATATAATATTTGAACACCAGAATCAAATTACATTCAGTGTTCAAAACTGATAAAATTCTGACATGATAAACTGGACAGAAGCGTAGAAAAGATCAAACACTAGCAGTAACATAAACTTCTCCCTTTTCTGTTTGTTTCTTCTCAAATTATGGGATTAATGTTGAAAATTTGTGGATAATTCAACATTTCATATATCTCATGATCAAATTTTATCCTTGACTTATTTATATTGATCTGATTCTAGAACTGCAAAGGTCTGCATGGTTGCACTTATATTTTACTTTACTCTAGAAATATCTTCATATATAACAGGGTGACATGTGCCTATGTGTAGTCGTATGTACTTGAAATATGAACCTGAATGATGGTTGCTTTTATTTATACTTTTATTTGGAGTGCGTAGATACAATGGTTTCTAAACATTCATACCTTTCACAACGTAGAGCAGTAGTGCCATCAAGTTCAAGAAGAAAAGATTGCATTTACTTGATAGGGGGCATGTGAAGCAATTAAGATTATTTTTTTTTCATGTAAATTCTTCTGTACAGTGACAATATCTGAGCATTTCATGCAAATTATCAGGGGCAACTCCATGACCTGATGGAGACTTTAAGTTCTACAGAACCTCATTATATTAGATGTATTAAGCCCAATAATCTTCTTAAGCCTGCTACTTTTGAGAACGCCAATGTTTTACATCAACTTCGATGTTCGGTAAGGAATACATCATTCATCAGATAGTCTCCAGAGAAAGCCAGTACTATTATATAACCTAACGGGTCATCCTTTCAGGGTGTTCTTGAAGCTATTCGCATCAGTTGTGCTGGATACCCTACAAGAAAATTATTTCGTGATTTTCTTCAACGGTTTCGCATTATTGCTCCTGATTTTTTCAAAGAAAGGTGAGTATAATGTTTACCTATACCTTCTAATTCTGCTACCTCTGTCCTGCATTTACTGTTATGATATTTGACAGAAATGATGAAAAAGTAATCTGCCAAAAGATTTTGGACAAAATGGGACTCCAGGGTTATCAGGTGAGTCATTCTTTAACAGAATAAATCCTACTTTATATGTATTGTACAACCATTTTCCTCTTTTTCTCATCCCATAAGGCTACCAAGTAAAAAGATATGTATGTGTTACTGAACCATTATCTAAAAGAAATGTTCTTGAATAGTTACAGCTTGTAAGGTAGAAAGTAAGTTCTTGAGGATTTTTCTTGTTGATTTGGTGATGCAACTGAAGTTTTCAACTGTTCAAAAAAGTTGATTTCTTTTACTTTCACTAGATATTCTCCCTGGAAAACAAAAGTCACGGTGGAATTAACAAGATACACTAAATAGTTTTACTCCACAACTTGCTTTTTATGATTATTTTCTTTGATGAGCTTCATGCAAATATATAGACTGTTTAATCGTGAAACTTCTCAAAAATATTGCAAATAATTGCTGTCTTTGACAGATTGGAAGAACTAAGGTGTTTCTGAGAGCCGGTCAGATGGCTGAATTGGATGCTAGAAGAACTGAAGTGCAGAATAGAGCAGCTAGAGCTGTTCAGAGTAGATTTCGCACTCATGTTGCTCGTGAACAATTTCTTATGCTACACAACACATCCATATCCTTCCAATCTTTTGTTAGAGGTAAGGTTGAGCTAGATGGCCTCTCAAGTGGGAAACAGTGCTTATGTCATTATGGCAGGAGTGGAGCCACATAGTTATGACGAATTCCTTTTTCATTTGTAGCAATTTTGGCTTGTAAGCTGCATTTGCTCCTGAGAAAACAAGCTGCAGCTCTGAAAATACAGAAAAACGTCCGCTGCTATTTTGCCTCAAAGTCTTTTTCTGAACTGCGCTCTTCAGCCATTACATTGCAGACAGGATTAAGGGCCTTTGGTGCTTATAACGAATATATTCGCAGAAAACAAAACAAAGCTTCTACTGATATCCAGGTAATAGATTTGTTTATTTTCCTTTTTTATTATTTATTCCAATGAAAAGTTGGTGCAGCCTATTATTTAAGCCGTTATACATCTAACTTAAAATGATAGTTAATCACCAATGCCCTGGCATTTTGCAAATTCGTAATTTTTTTTATCACATTTGGACTGTTGCTCTGGTAATGATTGCCCGCAGACTCAATGGCGTAGCCACAGGGATAATTCAAATTATCTCAAACTGAAGAGATCAGTGTTGATTTATCAGTGTGCATGGAGAATACAAGTTGCTAAAGGAAAACTCAGAAAGCTCAAAATGGTACTAAAGCAATATTGTCATTGCTATACTTTGTACTTGAACGTCAACAGTCTTTTATTTCAGTTGCATAAATTTTGTAGGCTGCAAGAGATACAGAAGCTCTCAAGGTAGAGAAAGGGAAACTTGAGGAGCATATAGAAGAATTATCAAGCCGTTTGTGTTTGGAAAAGAAACTGAGGGTAAATACTGCTCCTTGAATTATGACTTATTTAGAGAAGAAGATTTACTTCATCCATCCCAAATTAAGTTAATCTACTACGGGATATGACATATCCTTGTACTATGAATCTGGACAAGTGTCTATCTAGATTCGTAGTACAAGGATATGTGACATCCCATATTAGATTAACTTAATATGGGACGGAGGAAGTAGTAGGTCATATTGTTGGGTGACATTATGACACATATCTTTTTCAGAGTGACTTAGAGAATAGCAAAGCAACGGAAATTTCCAAATTACAGACCACTCTTCATGAGATGGAGCGTAGAGTAGAAGAAGCCAGAGCAACACAAGAAAGAGAATCAGCCAAAAAGGTTGTGGAAGAAGCTCTAGTTCTAGAAAGAGAGAAGATAGCTTTATTGACTAAAGAAGTTGAGGAGCTGAAGGTACTTTTTCCTCAATCTGAGCTTATTGAATATCCTTTCCATATGTTTCTTAAGAAATAAATCTCTGATATAGAAGTAACTTATTCAGATAAGGCATGATATTTGATGGTTATAGATAAATGTGACTTCGACAGGTACTACTGCTAAAAGAACAAGAAGAAAAAAATGCAACCAATAGTGCCTTTTCTATTGCTCAAGAAAGAAACGATGACCTAACTAAGAAAGTTGAGGTTGCAAATGAAAACTTCAAGCAGCTTAAAGATACTCTGAAGAGGTCAGTGCTTATTAACTGTTGATCTTAATGGACTGGTAGCATGGCAGGTTTCCTTCGATTCCAACTAAGTGAAACACAATATTTCAATTTGATTTGTTATACCAGCACATCAAATAAACATGCACTTCCTCGCTTTAATAACTAGCATAGTCCTTATTGTAGACTGTAGAGCAAGCTGCTATTGTTACTTGATCTTATTTCGTTTCTTTAGTGAGCTACTAAGGTCATAATTTGTCCCTGTTATCACAGTTCTCCATTTGACCGGATCCCTTTTGTGACATTTGTGTAGAACATGTAGATAAGTGATGCACTGAAATAACTTGCTGAAGCTCAAGAAATAAACAGGAGGTTCATAAAATACAAATCTAGGACTCTGAAAAATGTTTTTCAAATTAACATATTTGCAAAAGTTCATAGTTTGCCATACTAACATTTTATGGGAGAAAACCATGTACTTGAATGGCAAAGCATTTAGCTGTGGTGGTTGAAACCATGAGTTCAAACCCCACCTTCTATCTTAATTAAAAAGCCATATATTTCAGGTTTTCCTTTTGTTTTTATGTTAGCATTTTATCCTTTAAAGGTGATATATGTATATATGACTGTTCAACATGGTGGTAATTTTCTGCACCACTGAAGTTATCGGAGTCAAGTAAATTCACTTCCATCCTTGCCTACTGTTTAGAAAAACATATTTCTTCCTTTATGTTGGATACAGTTTTGAAGAGAGCACAAAAGGACTTGAGACTTCTCTGATGATGGAGAGGCAACAAAACGAGGCAAATAGAAGGGAAGTTGGTGAAGCACAACAAAGAGTTGAAGAACTACTGAGACTGGTTGCAGATGCTAATGGAAAATCCACATCGCTTCAGACTACTGTGCAGAGGTCATTTTTGTTTCATAAGAAAACAAGCTTTGTCCAGGACACATAATCTTTACAACTGAGCAACTTTTAGTACTAAAACTATGTGTGTTAAATTTTGTTTATTTATCCTTCTCGAGCCCAGGTTAGAACAAAGCTTAATTGAGAAAGAGGCCACTTGGCTTACAGAAAGGCAAGAAAGTGAAACAACCAATAAATTGCTCATCGAAGCTCATGGGAGAAATGAGGAATTGCTCAATAAAATTGAAGTTGCTGAAAATGACATATCTAAATTTCGAGACAATATCCAGAGGTCTATTGATTGGTCTCAGTTTACCTTTTCCTATGCTTGGTTACATTTTATGACCGACCTCTGTCATAGAACCCCACTCATCCAAATTCTCACTTAAATATTTTCTAGATTCTCATCCTTTTGAAAATATAAAGGCTGATTACTATTTTCAATGATAGATTTGAAGAAACTGCAACAACATTGGAGACTTCATTGCTAGCTGAGAAACAGCACAGTGCTGCAATCATGTCACAGTTAGCTGAAACGAAACAGGGAAATGAAGAGTTGCAGAAGAAGCTGGCAGATGTCAATAGAACAAACGATATACTTCAAGATTCTTTAAAGAGGTTCATTTCTCTCATTAGTTGATTAACCTCTTCACAAATAAAGGCTTGAAAGTATGATTGAAGAGTTAAAAATGGAAAGAAGAGAGGCATATGGCCCTGAATCCCTGGTATGCACTGTAAAGAGGGTACTCAGGATAACACTTTGGGATCCTGAACTGAAGGAAATCATCATTTTCTAAGGGATTGATCATAGTTTGGGGCGTAATGTGAGGGTGCTGCATATGTGCCTTCTTTGTCACGTATTTAGCAAGGAAGTTATTATTATTCTGCTGTCAGCATTACGAGATGACTTGGTAACATTTTCTTCACTAAATATAGGTTTGAAGAAAATGTAACCACAAGGGACGCCCTGTATTTAGCTGAAAGGCAAGAGCACGATGAAACAAAGCAATCACTTTCTAAATCTCAGGAAAGAAACTGGGAATTGCTTCAGAAAGTTGATGAAGCGGAGAAAAGAATAAATAAGCTTCTGGAGAATGCACAAAGGTTCTTGCGCTACTTCATTCAAACAGTGCAGTATATGTGTTCTGTAACTTAGAGCGCCACTGCTATCTTCTCAGCATTATGAGCTAACTTATTTACTTTTGTTCAATAAATTTAGACTTGAGAAACATGCGACAGCAAGGGAGTCTTTGCTGCTAAAGACAAAGCAAAGTCATGATTCGACAACAAAAGCACTAGTTGAAGCTGAAAGTAGAAACCGAGAGTTAACAAAAAGTTTTGAGGATTCAGACAGGAAAATCAATTTGCTTGAGGATTCAGTGAACAGGTTTGAATTTGTTTCTTCATGCTCTATAACCTTGAAACGACTTAAGCAACTATTTCGTGGTCAGCTATGGTGTTCTCTTCAAATCTATATTACCTTTTACCACAGTACATCTGTATGGCTCCAACCATAAGATCTCTCTTTATTGTACATAGACTGGAAGAACGTATAGCAGAGAAAGACTCTTTGTTGGAAATTGAAAGACAAGAAAACAATGCAACCAAGGATGAAGTAACCAATGCTCAAAACAAGATCATGGAATTAGTAAACGAGTCCCAACAATTGCAAGATATCAGAAAACATCTGGAAGATAACATCAAGAGGTTTGAGACTTCCTTTTAAGTGGATACACGCCCCCCAACTTATTTATTAATATTTTCATTATAATGTGGTAATGACATCTGATTTCAATGATCACAGGCTTGAAGAAGATGCTACTACAAGAGAAGCTTTATTGATATCAGAAAAACAGACACATGAGGCAACTAAGAGAACTCTAACTGAAACTCAGTTGAGAAATGAAGAGTTAATCAATAAGATCCAGGATTCTGATAAGCATGCCCTTCAGCTTGAGCTAACTATCGAGAGGTTAATAGTCATTCCTTTGTAGCCTTTTCCTATTTAAGAAACTTGCTAAGATCTAACTTATCATTCATCTTGTAACTCTTTAAGCTCTGCCTAACAACCTCCAGGCACGTGAACTTATATTAGCAGAAGATACTTCTCATACCTATTTATATTGAACCGTCTCCATATTCCTTCTATTGATACAGGCTTCAAGAGAATGCATCTACAATGGAGGCTTTACTTTTGAGAGAACGAGAGCAAAGCAATGCAACTATGAAGGCACATTCAGAAAGTCAAGAAAGAAATTCACAGCTACTAAAGAAATTTGAAGATGTTGACAAGAAAATTGGTCTTCTTCAAGGTGCCATACAAAGGTACTTCATCTAGCCATGATTTTCTTAAGCTGTAGATGTGGCAGTTCATGCGTAAAGTGAGTATTTGCATTTTTATAGATGCTAAATTTTGACATATTTTTTGCTGATTAAATTCAGGCTTGGTGAACAAACAACAAAAGACACTTTGTTGTTATCTGAGAGAAAGGAGAAGGATGAACTGAAGAAAGTGCTTAGTGAGACTGAATACAGAAATGAAGAGTTAGTAATCAAAATTGAAGAAGAGAACAAAAAAGTTGAGCATCTTCAAGACACCATAACTATGTAAGTATGTGCTCAATCTCCCATTCAACTTGTAATATATCGCCCTGAAAAAAATTACACAAAACCCCATCTGGTCCCTTACATTGTAATATCAGCCCTATGTTGTGTTTTTCTATACTAAGTCCAACACCTTTTCTGTATTTTCTATTTTTCTCCAATTTGACTGCATCAAAAGGACAACAATATGGTGTCCCCAAAATGCATGGATAATGCACAATATATTACCCATTTCTCAACTGAAATGATATTTGAAGGATTATTACCTTCATAGAATGCACATAAAACGTATGTTGCAGAAAAACGTTAACGGAATAATGTGGCTTAATTAGTTCAAGTAGCAGCTCCTCCTGCAGTCTGAGAACCCTTCGGTTATTTCCTTGTTTTGCTTTTCTTTCTTCATGAATGCATTCTCTCATTGTTGTACTTGGCAGACTGTGGACTTTTAGGTCATCTTAGTCCACTCTTCTTGTTAGAAAGATATGCTTTTCTTTTGTGTATATGTTAAAGCAATAGATTGCACTTTTGTGCTGCATGCATGCAAAATACAATTTTGGTGCAAACCTATCAAACTGAAGTCAGCAGTAAAGGACAGAAGGCGAAAAGATTTGAGATCTTAAGTAAGCTGAGGCAAATATAGGGCTGTGTATATATGTGTAACATTGCCCCCTTTAATTCTGAACCCTGATATTTTTAATTGCCATTCACTAATAATTGCCAACATAACAAACTGACAGCAGTTGTATTTGCCCAAAAATCAGGCTTAAGGAAAATATAGCGGTTCAAGCTGCTAATTTGGAAGCTGAAAGACAAGAAAACGACAGGATTAGGAAATCTCTTGTTGAAGCTCAGGAGAGAAATGACGAGTTATTTAAGAAAGTTAGTGACAGTGAATACAGGGCCCAGCAGCTCCAAGATACTGTGCAAAAGTTGGTATCTTTATTTCTCCATATAGTTTTCTTCAATAGTACACTAACTACAATTGCATCACTACCAGTCAACCTATTATATGTTATTATTTTGTGAGACTAATGTCTTTACCAATCAGGCTTCAAGTTGATGCCATATCAAGATTGTCTTCCTTTGTAATGGAGAGACAAGAAAGTGATGCTGTGAGAAAGGCACTTGCGGAATCTCATGGAAGAAATGAAGATCTAATAAGACGAAATGATGACCTCCTCAGTAGGAATGATGACTTGATCAAGAAAATTGAAGATTCCGGTCAAGTTGTTGCTGAGCTCCAGGCAGCCTTAGAAAGGTAACCACCATAAGTTTTTTTTAATCCTCAACGATTCATTTTTAGCCACATTCTACATTTCTTTGTCATCGTCTTTTTATGGAACAAGTGCCTCTGTTATTCAACCTTCCACATACACAGGATAGAAGGGAAAGCGGCCAACTTAGAGGCAGAAAATCAAATTCTTCGCCAACAAGCAATTGCAACCCCCCCATCTACAGCCAAGTCTCAAGCTGCATTCTCTAAAATCAGTATGATCCATGTAATGTGTCTTCAATAGATCTTACAGTTGTATGACTGTTGAATATTCTCACTTGAATTGGTAGATGCATTTCAACAGAGAAGTCCAGAAAATGGACATATTTTAAATGGCAACGTAGCATATGCTGAAAAGTCCTTGACTGGTCCAGCAGAAACAAGACCCTCTATGGTTGTTAACCAAGTATGTGGTCGCATGTCAAAACCGTCCTTTCTGTTTGGTGATAAATTAGTCCATATGTTGCAACTGATTTAAATAATGCATTAACGCAGGGTAGCATCCTCAATTTGATTAACCAAAAGGATTATGAAAGTGGAGATAAAATGCAAAGAGCACATAATGAAGTATATCAGGTAGGCTGGTTTCTATGTTCTGTAGTTGCCTGACCTCCAACTGCTGAAATGGTACCTTTGTTTGTTTTGGTATTCTTCTCAGCACCAGCAGCCCCAGGATGATCAGCAGTTATTGCTTCAGTACATTACCCAGCACCTTGGATTCTCTGGTAGTAAACCTGTCGCTGCGCTTCTTCTATACCAATGCCTTCTTCATTGGAAATCGTTTGAAACAGCAAAAACAAGTGTCTTTGACAGTATCCTACAAGAGATAAACTCAGCAATAGAGGTTTGTGGCTCATTTCTTTGAATATTTAAACCTTCTTGTTCTGTAGCTGTACTCTAGTAGCACATATCCTGCACCTTGTAACATGATACGAGACATCTTTATGCAGCCACCTGGAATCCAGAATCATTACATTGTTATAATATTAACTGACATTCCTCTTACTTCAAGGCTCAACATGATACGAGAAGCCTGGCCTATTGGTTATCCAACCTGTCAACATTGTCAGTTCTCCTGCAACTCTCATTTAAAACCACCAGGGCAGCAATCTCAACCCCACATAGACGGAGATTTTCCTACGAGAGGATTTTTCAAGCTAGTCAAACTTCAAATAGCGGACTTGCTTATTTCAGTGCTCAACCGGTGGATGGGCCTAGTGGATTGCAACAAATTGATGCAAAATATCCAGCTTTGCTCTTCAAGCAGCAGCTTGTGGATCTGATTGAGAAGGTGTATGGAATGATAAGTGACAAGGTGAAGAAGGAGCTTAACCCGTTACTTGAGTTGTGCATACAGGTACTTCCTCTCCTAAGAGAACTAGAAAAGTAGCCATCAGTTCTGAAACATTTTCTTTCTGAAAATCTGTAAATATTGTAAATATTCAGGATCCAAGGACTTCTCACTCAAATCAAGCAAAGGCCTCACTATCATCTGCTAGTCACTTGGGCCAACAAAGCCAACTCACACACTGGTTGGGCATAGTGAAAATCCTCAACAACTGCTTGCATCTGCTAAGAGCAAATCATGTACGTGATAAACGAATACAAATGCCAATGATTATCCACTCCCAGTGTATGACTTACCAGATCAACTGTCCTTTCTATGTTAAATTTGCAGGTCCCATCAATTCTGATCCACAAGTTGCTTACCCAAATATTTTCTATGGTCAATGTTCAACTATTTAATAGGTGAGCTTATTTTCTCTCCTATAGCATTTTTTGAGAGACTTAGTTATTATTTTTTTCCCCTGTTTTGGAAGCAGACTTCTGTTGCGCCGTGAATGTTGTTCGTTCAGCAACGGGGAGTATATCAGAGCTGGACTAACTCAAATAAAACATTGGTGCAATGATGTTAATCAAGAGGTTGTTCGGATATGTCTGTAGATTTTTTTTTTTTCAAAATGCTGCCAGCTTAAGTTTTTAGTGTTTACACAGTTTGCAGATTCAGCCTGGGAAGCACTGAGGCATATAAGACAAGCTGTTGATTTCTTGGTGCGTGTGTTTTTCTTTCATTATGAAAAGAGAGATGAAAAAAGATTGGCATGTGAACAAATTGAAACTTAGTTTTCCAAAATATTTCCTACCTTGTCATTCACCAGGTAATTTCGCTGAAGCCAATACGGACATGGAGTGAAATATGCGATGATGTTTGCCCAGTAAGTATTATATATTTTTCTGGTTATTTAGAGAACCTTTGTGCTATTCATTAGGTCTACATGTGTAATCATTTCAACGCCTGTTCAGGCTCTCAGCTTACAGCAGCTTGAGCGTATAGTTGGCATGTACTGGGATGATATGAATGGCACAAACATTATTTCAGCAGAGGTGAGATGATATGTTTTCTTATTTAATCGTACAATTAAGTCCTGCATTATTTGGCCTGCTATTCCTTTTGAAATGCTAATCATGTGACTTGTGATTTAGTTCACATCAAGCATGAGAACTATGATGAAGGAGGAATCAAATAATGCCACCAGCTTTTCTGTCCTGTTGGATGACGATTCCAGGTTTTCTACTATGCTAAAAAGTTTCCATGGCCATTCTCCATTCCCTTTCAGTGCTCATTTAACTTCTGTTGATTATCTTTGCAGCATACCTTTTTCACTTGAAGACATTGCGAAGTCGATGCCAACCATTGAGGAGACGACAGAGAATGACCTGCTACCTTTTGTCCGTGAAAACCAAAGCTTTGCGTTTATATTGCACAGGAGAGATTGAGTGGTTCCCTCTTCACAGATCATTCACCGGCTATGTGAAAAAGGAGCGCCTCTGTGTAGCGTGGATATTACACGTTATTCATGTTGTAGACTAGTAACCCATTTAGGAATCAAGAGCAATTGCAGCTGAGGGTTTCTAGGCCTCTCTGGTTTGAATGGTTGGTTAAGCAAACTGTACATGTTTTATCTGCAGTGTGTATAACACACGTTATTCATGTTGTAGACTAGTGACCCATTTATGAATTAAGAGCAATTGGACCTGACGTTTTCTAGTCTTCTGGTTTGGGCGGTTGGTCAAGCAATCATACTTATTTTCTCACGTCATCTAGCCAGCTGTTTCTTTCTTCTTTCTTTGGGTGGGATAAAGCAACATATGATGCAACCGTTCTCGCATGAAAAAGCTCAATTCAGGAAAGGTGATCACAATTATGTTAATTTTACTGGTCATCTCAGCCACTTAGCTTTTTCCAAGTTCAATTATTGTACAAGGGATACTTCTTGCCAGGGCTGAAAACTGAAGCTGACGGGATAGAATGGAGGTAGGTAGATATTTATCCCTAGATGGAAGATACATCTAGCATATACATGTACAATTTCTTGAAGCCCAGCAAAAAAAACAGTGGGTCAAGTCCCGTGAGGAAGACCGACTAGTTGTATGAAACTCTTTGACACACATCATGGTCAGCTACTCAAGATGAACCCAGGCCCTGTTATGAAATGTTCTTGAGTTTCTTTCGCGGTTTCAAGTCGACAACAATGACAGTGATGTTATCCTCGCTGCCTTTCTTCAGAGCGAGTCTCATCAGATAATCGGCAGCTGCTTGGGCAGCAGGGTCGGTGGATCCTTCACCCTCATCAGACAATGGTGATGCAGCGCCATTGTTCTTGTGCCACAGAAGGATCTGTCGGCGTGCGACTTTGCATGCCTCTTCATTTGACACAACATCCCACAGCCCATCGCTTGCTAGAATAAGACAGTCATCATCCTTCGCCCGTGGAACGACCATAACTTCCGGTTTTGGAATGACAAATGGTTTCAGATAGCGATCACCTGCAACATCAGGAACACGGATAAAATTAGCACAAGGGGCACTAAATTTGGACATGCAATCCAATGCACAGGGAAGTCAGCTGAACTGTCATTGGTTCAACCAAATTTCAGGTGAAATGGAGCAACAATGTTGTCCAAGTGTATAACACAATAGAGTTAGTTTATTTGAATGGCGCAAGAGATGTGAACAGGTCCAACTAAGACCCATTTAGTCATGGTCCAAGCTGCAAGTGCCACTTGCATGAACATGACATAAGGTACCTTTGTTGCTTCGATAAACGATGGCTTTTCTACTTTGGCAGGTAACTTCTTTTCCTAATCAAATCTGCATACTCAATTCTATAACAGAGATATGTTTAACCTCATCGCAAGTTCATCAACAAGATTAGTGCCAAACTGGCAATATCCAGATAGTCACATGATTGCAGAATCTTCACATATGTATGTCTCGCATAGAAACAAGATTTTAGGGCCCAAACTGCTGTTACTTGTAGGTAAATATATTCCTAATGAATAATACAACACCATGGAAATATCTCACAGCACGTAATATATTCATCACTAAAAATAAGATCTAGCGTAATAGTTCTTTGGGCAATACGGTAACAGGACATTTTGCCTAGCCAATCTGAAATAATCCACTATTGATATACTTTTCTTAGTGCCGAAAACTACAAGCAATGGCAAAGGACTTGGGGACTTGCACTAACATAGTGTTAACATCATCATATAATATATGGCAACAATTAATTCTACAGCACTATGATGCAGAAGATCTCAAAACAAGGTGGCAATAGGCCAAAATCAATGTAAGATCATGTAATTTTTTACATCATGTCGCATAGTTTCATGTGCTTTGTTCTTGCCATGGCCACAATTTCCAGGCCCAAAGCACAGTCCTTACTATGGCAGTGTCACACAACTCATTTACAGGGAAAAGAGACAGACAAGTGCTTCAGCCTAGATCTAGCACAGGGATCAATATGCATACCGATTGATCGGGACATAGCAAGTATACCGGACACCCGGTAACCATTCCATTGGATGACCTTGCCTCCCTGGGCTTCAATCCTTGCCCGCTCATCCTTCCTGTCAGGCTGAAAACAAAGGCATAATCGGATTCAGATTAATTATCCCCAAAAATGGACCATGACCTTTACAGGCATAACAAAGCTTCCCCAGTTTACCTTGTGATCAATTGACAAGGCTACGGGCTCCTTCCCGCGGCAGAGCACGATGCGCGAATCTCCACAGTTGGCAACCACCACATGAGATGAGCAGACAAGCGCAACGACCGCCGTCGAGCCGACGTTCTCTGCGGTCACCGGTTCTGACCGGACCTCACCGCCACCATTGACAACCCTGGTCACTCTCCCTGAAACCTCATCGTCCACTCTCTGGAAACATTTCGTGAACACATCATCCCAGTGCTCTTTCATGTCCACCTCGCCCATCTCCCCCAAATTCTTGCCAAGTCGCTTCAGCTCCTCGCTCAAGACGACGTGGATCCTTTCACGGCAGTAGTTCGCCACCTGCACAGCAACACGAGGGCCACGGAATCGGTCAAAATCGTGAGCTTAGGCTGCGCCGTGGGCGACCAATCCGGACGCCGCGGATGGTTCTCAAGCACACGCGTATACCTCGGCGCCGCCGTGGCCGTCGAACACGCCGAAGAGGTGCGCCGGCAGGCGGAGCGCGTCGGCGTCGAGGCCCAGCGCGTCGAGGTCGCGCCGGCTGGCGAGCAGCCGCACCGGCACGTCCGCGAACCGCGGCACGGCGGCGCTCGCGTCCTCCATCTCCGCGCTGCGGCCGCGCGTCGACGCGCAGCCCCACACCGGCGCGCAGTCCATCAGGTAGACGCTCCTCTTCCCCGCCCCCGCCGCCGCCACCGCCTCCTTCCTCTCCCCAAGATCCACCCTCTCGATCCCGCCCGCCCATTCCCCCGTGCACCCCACCCGCGCCGCCGTCTCATCCTCCCCACATATCGCCGCCGCCGCCGCCGCCGCCGCCATCACCAAGATCACCTCTCCCTCCTCCCCCCACAAAGAAAATCACCCCCAACAACACCAGCAACTTCTCCTCCTCCTCCTCCTCCTCCTCCTCCTCCAACAACAACAACAAAACTACTTCCCAAGAAGCCAACGAAGCCGACCACCTGACCTCGCAAGCACAAGGTGGGGTGGGTGAAGAGAACCAAAGAGAGGAGCAGAGAGGAAGAAGAGGAGGTGTGTGCTTGCCCAAAGACGCGCGCGTGTCGAGGGGGAGGGGAAAGGGGAGGAGGAGGAGGAGAGGAAGGAGGGAGAAGGCGAGGGGAGGTGGTGAGACGGGATTGGACGGGTGGGGGTGAGCGGGACGCGCCGTATCGGACAGGTCTCCCCGTCTGCTGCTGCTGCTGCTGGAGGGGGTCCGCGTGGCGTTAATATTCATTTGTTGCTCCGCGAACGGGGGTGTTTGCTGCTACCTTCACGCCACTTCGGTACACTTGTTGCGCTCCCACTCGGCGCCACATTTATTTTCGCCATCCCTTGCGCTGATTTTGTTTCGAGATTTGGAGGGAGAGAACTTTTTTTAAGAAAGAAATAATGAACCTATTGAGGATTGGAGACTGGACCTGAAGTTGAAACTATACATCTCTTGCCACTGTACTATAGATACATATCTTTTCTGTCTCTAGAGAGGAGTTGAAAGGATAAAATAATCAATAATACTTGTTTTACTAGGTGAGTTGTTACTCCATGATTAATTGAGTATTAATATATTTTTACTCCATGATTAATTGAGTATTAATATATTTTTTACTTTTTTATAGAAAATTTTGTAAAAAAATATATTTGTCTAGCAGTTCAAGAAATGTGTATGTGTAAATACACTTTCTATCCGAAACAAATGTCGCCTTAAACGCCTATGTTGTATGCTTATTGGTTTATCAGCCACAACCAAACTTTAAGCTTTTGAAACTTAAATTTAAAGATGATACTAAGATTTTTTTTTAATATAGTTTCTTTTCAATATTGATTTTGAAATTATTAAGAACACATATATAAAATTTTATTTATACATTATAATTTTTTTTACTTCGTTCATTCTTTCACGACTTATGAGCCATGGGGCAAACAATGAGAGGCTTAATTTGAGGTGAAAAAATATTTTAAATTGTAAATATCTCGGTGTTTGAATTAGTATTACTCCTACCTTATATGTGATGCTTTGACAAGGGTGTTTAGATTTGATTGGGAATTCATGATTCAAAAAGGGTGGTAACTGGATAGGATAAAATATCTGATAGATTGGTTAGGCCAGATGTTGATCTTATTAAAATATGTACAACTTATATACAAATGTATAAGTTTAGACTTCCACTTATTTAGGGTAGCTTTATACTCATGTTGCCTATTGTTTTTTACTTAATATTGTGCTACGTGGCCAAACTTCTTGTAAAGTTTGTTGCTGAAAGTCGAGATCCCCAAGCAAACATAATATATTCTACCAACTAATATCTGGGGTGCGTCTATCTGTTCTATACTTTACTTTGCTCGCTTATGGAAGCAATGGTTTTTCTAGAAAATAAATTTGCATTGTTCACAATTAAATCGCAACACAAAAATAGTACATTTCGATGTACTCTTTTGAATTAAGCTGTTCTTCCTCATCCCTTATGCGCTTCTCTGCTTGTAAAATTAAAGCTATTTTGTGATCAATGAAGTTCATGCCGATCAACGGTGATGACATTCCTGTGGCTCCTTTAAATAATTAAGCAAAATAATAATATATTTTTTATTGCTACACAAATATACTGTACGTAGGAAGATAGAAGATCTAACAAAATCTTGCCATGCCCATTACTGGACCTTTTAGAATGGGTGACCTGTAGTATCTGCCTAGCAAAATGCCAAAGCAAAATGGAAGAAAACAAAATAGCCGGAGATGACTGGTACACATGTGGTGCCCCCTTACATTTTCTCTCTCCATTGTTTTCTCTCCAGTCTCCACTGTGCCCAAGCTTGACACGTCGCCCCATTTGGTGAGAGTGTTTTGCCCCCGGCAAAGTCTGAATTCGCACCTTTCTAGGAGGCCGGGCCCACTCCCCCTCCGGCCAATGCGAGCCCGCCACTTGTCCACGTCGGATGCGAACACAGAAAGGACTAGCAGCAGCAGTTGCTTTCTGTGCCGGGTCTCAGCGGGCGTTTAGATCGGACTAAAACTTCCTATGTCACATCGGATGTTTGGACGCTAATTTAGAGTATTAAACATAGATTAATAAAAAAACTAATTTCATAAATGAGAGCTAATTCGCTAGACGATTTTTTTAAGCCTAATTAATCCATAATTATCAAAAGTTTACTGTAGCATCACATTGTTAAAATCATGGCGTAATTAGACTCAAAAGATTCGTCTCGCAAATTAGTCCAAGCTTATGGAATGGGTTTTGTAATTAGTATATGTTTAATACTTCAAATTAGTGTCCAAACATCCGATGTGACAGGGACTTGGAATAAGTCCCCGGAAAACAAACAACCCCTCAGCCTTGTAACTTTTGTCACGATGAGAAGTGAGAAGAGTGTGACATACGGCTGCTCGATCCAAGGAGAAAGCCAAGTGTCGCACACTTGGTAGAATTCCGAGGATAACGTTTGCGTGTACCAGGATCGATCGGTCTTTCAGCTGGTAGTAGATGGAAAGGTTGATCGAATCCAGGATTTATCAAATCTTTCGGGGTGGAATTATCATCGTTTTACAGTTTAACTGTAACCATGTAACCATGTGGTTACTGTAAAAACCGCGTATATTATCGTGTGGTATACCGTTATTTTAAAAACTAAAATAAATATTACACGTGATAATCACGATAACCATACAGTTTTGTAAACGTCCATCGAATGAATGAGAGTCACAGCTGTTCGTGACTCGTCTAGGAAACGAGATTATACGGTTATACGAAGAGAAAGGATTGATCTAGTACTAGTACTGGTGCACTGTACATTGTCATGATCACGGTCACAGGCGTGTATACTTTTTTACGTGGATGAATACGTACGGAGTATGAGTATTTTCGGTTGAGCTTAGGCTGTGTAGTTGGAAGTTTGGGTTAAAATTGGTACGATGTGACTGAAAAGTTATGTGTGTATGACATGTTGATGCGATGAAAAAAAGTTAGAAGTTTGGATCAAAGTTTGAATATAAACACAGCCGTAATTAGCTTGCCTCTACGACCCTGTCGTAGTTCGTGTCATGTCCAAATCCAACAGAGCGTTCGAGAAGTACTACAGATCAGCTCTTCACTTTCCCTTTTTTTTTTCCTTCGGTTTCATGTGATTATGTGAAACGTGATGTATTTATGTCTCGTACGTGCTACCACTACTACTTGAAATGTGGCGGGTTCCACCAGCGAGTTCGCGAGTAAAAATGACGAGGCGATCGATTAACCTGCACGTACACCTATATGGACCAAAGAAAAAAAAGCAGTATGGGTCGCCAGCGCGTGGGCAACTCCCACCGGGCAGAGGCACATGTACGCACGCACAGTGTGGGGGTGGGCACGTACGGGGCCGCGACGTGCACACGATGACACGGCGACATGTACAGGCGGCCGGCGCCGCTCGCGCGGCGTCTCGATCGCGGGGGAGGGGGGGGGGGGACGCATCACCGCGCGCCCGGCACACGTGAGCACTCGCGCGCGCGTACGTGCAATGCACCGGTCGTTTGATAGCCGCGCGAGATCGGTTTTGATCGCCGAGATCTGCACGCGCGCGCCGCGTCGTGCCGATCGATCGTGATCCCGCCGCGCGCTCGCGCGCGCACCGGTGGATGGGGGCGCCTCGCTACCGAGTGATTGCGCCGCGTGCGCGCGTACCAGCCGCCGTGACTTGGCAGCTGCGACGCCCACCCGCGCGCGAAAGCCAGGGTTGCTGCACCGATCGAGCATCAACCACCCATCCGTTGGCGAGCTCTCTGGTGGTTGGGTTTTGGGCCTTTTGGCGATGGATCGCGCGGAACCTGGAATATTTGATCAGCCAGCTAGCGCGGAGATGCGCCCGGGGATCGATGATATGCCGGGCGTTGCCCCGGCCCGCCACGCGCGCACTTCTGCATGTACGACGGTTGTGTTCTTTTAGTTAGGTGTTTGGATAATAGGAATTGGGGGTGGGATTAGGATTAAGAAATGAACGAAGGTTTAGAATTAAATGGAAGATGGAGAATGAATGGTTAGGATTTAAATATGGGTGGAAAATTATTTTCATTTCCCATTTACTAAACACTGTCTTGAGGTTGACAACCTTCTCTTCTAGTATAAAAACAGAACGACACATTAACACATGATTAATTAAGTATTAATTTAGAAAACTTAAAAATAAATTAATATGATTTAAAAATATTTTTTCTATAGAAAATTCTTGTAAAAACACAAAGTTAAATAATTTGAAAAACATGAAACTAGAGAGTGAAGTTGAAAAAGTGTTGTAACAGAGTCTAGGCTCTATTTGGTATCCCTTTATCCCTTTTCCCAACCACTCTTCTTTGTTTTCTGCGCGCACGCTTTTCAAACTAGCGTTTTTTTTGCAAAAAAAGTTTCTATACGAAAGTTACTTAAAAAAATCAAATTAATCAATTTTTTTAAAAAAGCTAATACTTAATTAATCATGCACTAATAGACTACTCCATTTTTCATCATCACTCTTATGGGAACAGATGTGCGAACAGCTGGTTCGGACCGCATCATCGGCTCGGCAACAAAACGGACGGATTATACGAGACGAGGCGCATTTCAGAGGAAAGTGAACGAGGCACTCATGATAATTGGGTACTACACCGACGTAAGTGCCATTGAGTTGTAAAACGGCGACAGGTTTAATTATCTCGAACGATTTTGACTTAGGTGATTCCAAACTACTAAAAATGCAAGGCGGAAAACATATGAAAAGCTACAAACCTCCGGAGAAAGCAGGGAATGAGATTATTGGATTGCAGCTAAGCTGGCCGGGATATGCCGTGCACACGTCCCTGTCATCGATCGTTACGTGTTCCTCCCTGTGGAGCCTCGCCATTGGTCCAACTGTCCATCAACGCCTTTAATTTTTATACGACGTGTGAACTTAGCTGATGGGAGGAATCCTATATACGGATGATAAAGCGATCGATATTAGTAGTAGCTTTCACAGGAGCCCACAAAAGTGGCTCGTCTCGTGCATAATAACTTATTTCAAGGTCGAGCTCTTGCAGTGGTCCTCAAACGTATCGAAGGTTTTGTATATGGCGCAAAAGACCGATATGAAGAAAACTTACCCTTTAATTTATGGCATACTCAAAATATCTCAGTAGAAGTGGCAACTTACAAGCATCCATCTGCTGATCTGCATATATATAGTAGTCGTCGGCCGCCTACTATTTGACCTAGCTAGTTAATTCCATCAGCCTGAGCTTGTATTGACGTCTGATTTATCAGCAAAGTTCACCCAAAAAAAAAATCAAATCACGCTACGCAGAACAGAATGGTGGTACATGTAAAGATAGATTCACTCACGCGGGTGCGCTTAGAATTGAAATTCAATGAGAGCAAGGGATTTGCCCGTTGGTCTTCATCCTTTTTAGCGCGTGCTAGGGGATGCACTAACGATAGTAACACGTGTGTTATGTTGTAAGCATGTATGTTTCTTGTTTAATAGAAAAAAAAAGGTGCCATCTATATAACATTTGATTAAAAAAAACACCCGACAAATCGTGCAAAATTTATACTGTGGGACCATTTTAAGATTCATGCACGATATTTCAAACCCTGACCCTCCTGCCTCCGCTCGTCATTCCCTGCACCGCCACCACTAGTTGTGAGCTCGCACACGCGATGCCTAGGGTCAACGGCAACAGTGAGCTCCTCCCCTTCATTCCTCTCTCCCTTCACTTGCCTAAATCGGCGGTGCGAGTGTCCCCGTCCCACCGTGGCAGCTCCCTACCATCGGATCCGCCACCACTAGCAGTCGCCTCCTAACCACAAGCTTTGGTTTATCTCCATCGCCGACGCCAGCCCACTATCCTTCTCCTATCCACGTGGCTTCGTGCAGCCAGTAGCGTCTCGTCGTCCACTTGTGTCCACTGCCTCCCACAACCATCCTTCTAAGTCCAGTGATCCCCCTCCCCTCTTGAGTTAGGGTTTAGTGATCGGGGACCCTAAACCCTAACTCTACTTCCTTTGTCGAGCTGCCAGAGTTGAAGGGGGTGTCGTCGGAGCCAAAGAAGAAGAGTTGAGGTCACCGGAGCACGAATTATGAAGCAAAATCCCAAGATCAATAATGTGCACGATTTTAATAAAAAAAATTTGTCGCCGGCCAAATTTGCCAGCTCAGCTGCATCAACACAAAAGTGCCCTAGTAGTTTCAAAGTACAGGCCTGGCCTATTTCATTCCGTGCTTCCGGTATTCAACAGGCCGACCGCCGACGCAGCCCGCACCGCCACTCTCCAGCGGACGGATGCACTGGCCTGGCCCATCAAGTGCACGCTCTCATGGACCGTAACGGTCTCGCCAGTCGCCACGAAACGTGCGGCCTATACTAAATGGGCCGAATCGGTTCAGCCACGTGCGGCCCATGATATTGGGCCCAGAAAGTCAAGTAGCCCATCGCCCCATCCCCTCCGCGGCTTCCAGAAGCAAAACGGAATCAAACTCCTATCATTTTAAGCCTTCGTCTTCCCCTTCCCCGTCGAGTCGTCGTCGTCGTCGTCCTCCCGTCTCGTGCCATTCGCCGCAGAGTCCCCAACCTCCACTCCCCTCCTCGCCCGTCTCCAATGGATGGCCATCAGTTCGGGCCATGGAACCTCTTGCCCGACGACATCCTGGAGTTGCTGGTCGGCCGCAACCTGTGCGAGATCGACCGCCTCCACGCGCGCCGCGTCTGCCACTCCTGGCGCGCGGCGTTCGCGAGGATCGAGCCCCCGCCGCCGCCTCCACCGCTGCCGTTGCTCCTCCTCCCGGAAGCCGACGACAACGAGCACGGTCTTGCCTTCTCCTGCGTCCTCAGCGGCTGGGACACCCACCCCTTCTTCCTCCCGCGCGCCGCGCGGCACCGCGCCCGCTGCTTCGGCTCGTGCGATGGCGTCTGGCTCTTCCTCGCCATGGAGGACGGCCTGCAAGGCGACCGAGCTCGAGACCACGTCCTCGTCAACCTCCACAGCTTCCAGTTCCTCGACCTCCCCAACGTGATCCGCCTCGACCACACGTTCCCGCAATTGATGAAGGACATCGAGATCGCGATCGTCGCCGTCACGCTCTCGCGCCAGCCAACCCAGCAAGGATGCGTCGCCGCCGGCATCATCGAGCTCCCTCCCTTCCCCATCGGAGTGCGGCCGTTCGCGTTCTGGCGCATGGGGGATCGGGTGATCTTGCCTTTCTACGAAGACGTGTTCGGGGATCAAGCAGTAGAGGACGTCATATACCACAACGGCTACTTCCTCTTCCTCACCCAGGACGAACACATTCGTGTGTGCCAAGAGCCGGTCTTCCACGACACCAACGTGGACGTGGACTCGATCCTGTTGCGATTCGAGCCGCGCGTCGACGACGGCGACGCCGTCCTTGCTCGCTACCTCGTGCTGTGCCGGGGGAAGGTGCTCATGGTCGTCAGGTTGGGCTGTCCACATCGCCGCTCGCCGACGTCGGCGTTCCGGGTGTTCGAGAGAGTGGACTATCTGGTGGTGAACGCCGGCGTGGTCGAGGTGCTTGAGCACACCTGGAGCGAGATTGACGAGCTCGGCGGCAGGATGCTGTTCCTCGGGCGAGGCTGCTCCAGATCCTACGAGGAGGCCGATGGGTATCCCGGCATGGAGGGCGTCTACTTCTTGGATGACCGGAGCTTCCGTGACCCGATCTTCCACGACCCGGACATGGTGTTCGATCACACCTACCATTGCTGCGACAATGGCAGATGGTAGAAATCACCGTTCAATGTCGATCGCCGCTTCCCGGAGCGAGGCCGGTCGAAAATCTCTCCTCCGGTTTGGATTCTCCCTTGAAGAAATTAACGAACAGGGGTTAGTTCAACAGGTCAAGTTAGTTTGTGATTGTTTGTTTCTTCTTTCTGAGAATCTGAGTTCGATGGTGTTCTCGTGTTCAAATTGTTGCTGATTAGTAGTAGATATAATTTGCCTGCATTTCTTTGTGGTGCAAAGCTGAAGGCAGAACCCGTTTAGTGCTGAATTGCTACAGACGATACTTGCCGTTGATTCAGTGATATTCTTCACATGTCTCAGTGAATTCAATTACACTTTTAAATCTATATATAAATGAATTACTAGTTGCTAACATGATTGTTACTGATCTGCAGTACGTACAGACTTCTAGTTTCTATGATATTTAGATCATGTGCAGAATGAGGTGTGTGTAAGAGTAATGTACCAGGCTTGACCTTGTTCCACTTCCTTTCATGTTTCATGGTTCCTGAGAGTTCGATGACAATATTATACATCGGACATTGTTATGGTTAATCTTCAATTATTTGTTAGCTTTAAAACAAGTCACATTTGCAGGGCTTGCAGCAGACCAGATGTGATCTGGTGTACTTCAACTTCTGTACAACTTTTGCTACACTCTGTTTCTACCTTTTTGGATAATTCAAGCAGTATATATCCTTGTGTTGTGGCAACTGATAATTTCAGTGTGGACATGTGCATTGTTGTGTGACCAGATCACATCTTCGGTCTTCCTTATTTGGATGTAGATAGTTGTGTCCATTGTTGCTCACTTGCTCTGTTTAAGGTGGTTTTTTGCATGTAATCAATTATGGTTCTGTAAAAACCATGGCAGCCTATCTATTTCCCCTTGATTGAAGATTTGACTATTCTGCATGAATATGTCCAATGCAGAGAACTGAGACTTAAAAACTTAACTATTTTCACTGTGTAGATAGCATTGCAGCAATCTTTGTATGCGACTGCGACACATATACTGATCATCTGAAAAAAATGAGTTTATATGCTCAATAATGATACAAAACTATGCGCATCCATATATAATCACAGCCCTAAATATCGTCCCACTGCACTGCATATTAACCGTCCGATTGTCTACCTGATGGATGCAAAGTCCACGTGATCAAAACAGTAATGGGCCTTATAAGGCCACGTATTGTGGCAGAAATTTGACGGGCCATCCACTGAGATGGGCTAGAAAATTGGGCCATGCAGTGAAACGGCCCACTGCGGCAAGTCTCCAGTTCGCTCGACTTGAAGTTTGCAACGCCTCTTCTTCCTCCTCTTTCTGAACTCTGCAAGTTGCAAGTATTTTCTTCTTCGTTTTTTTTCCCTTCTCCGCGGCTTCCAGAAGCAAAATGGAATCTAACCAACATATATATACAGCAGTAGCACATCGTCTTCTCGCCTCGACCTCTCGTGCCATTCCCCTTTCAATTCGCCCCGCAGAGTCGTCGCTAACCTCCAATCTCCATCCACTCCTCTCCCGTCTCCTCCAATGGCGGTTGCTGATGATCGGCGGGGGCCTCGGGGATGGGCGCGCCTCCCAGACGAAGTCCTGCGCGAGCTCTACCGCCGCATCCCGTGCGAGATCGACCGCCACTACGCGCGCCGCGTCTGCCACTCCTGGCGCGCGGCGCTCGCGAGGCTCGAGCCCCCGGCGCCGCATCCCCAGGTCCCGTGGCTCCTCCTCCCGGAGACCAACGAGCACGGGCTCACCTTCTCCTGCGTCCTCAGCGAGTGCCGCGCACACCGCTTCTTCCTCCCGAGCGGCGCGCGGCGCGCGCGCTACTTCGGTTCGTACGACGGCGCCTGGCTCTTCCTCGCCGTGGATGGCCGAGGAGCACAAGCACAAGACCACCTCCTCGTCAACCTCAACAACTTCCAGTACCTCGACCTCCCCAACGCGATCCTCCTCCACAACTGGTACGAGCCGGACAAGCTGGACCTCAAGAAAGTCGCCATCGTCGCCGCCGCGCTCTCGCGGCCGCCAACTGAACGAGGATGCGTCGTCGCCGGCATCATCGAACCTTTCCTCTCCGCCCACCGAGTCGCGTTCTGGCGCATGGGCGATCGGGTGATCTCGCCGCAGCCGGCGTGGCCGTTGCCGCTGGAAGAAGTGGAGGACATCCTGCACTACACCTTCAACCGCAACGGACGGGAGCATGAAGCTTTCCTTGTCCTCACCACGGAGGAAAACGCGCTTGTGTGCGAACCGAGGTTCCATGGATCAAGCGTGCAAGTCCTCTCGAATTTGGTGCGCTTCATTCCGCGTGGATCCGACGGCCAGCCGGTCCTTGCTCGCTACCTCGTGGAGTCCCGCGGGGAAGTTCTCATGGTCGTCAGGTTAGGCTCTGCGATTCAGTACGATCCGTCGGCGGAGGAGTTCAGGGTGTTCGAGAGAAGAGATTTCAACGACGGCAAGTTCAACTGCATATGGAACTCGATGTCTGAGCTCGAAGGCCGGATGCTGTTCGTCGGACGAGGCTGCTCAAGATCCTACGAGGCGGCCGATGGCCCCGCCATGGAGGGCGTCTACTTCTTGGATGACCGGAGCTTCCGCGACCCGATCTTCCACGACCCCTACGAGCAGCCGATCTTCCGTCGCGCCAACCGTTGCAGCGACAACGGCAAATGGTTGGAAGCGCCTTTCATCCGGCTCGACCGCTGCTTGCCGGAGCGAGGCCCATCGAAATGCTCGCCTCCGGTTTGGATTCTCCCTTGAGATAAGGCTGTGGCGACGTCGTTCTTCGTTGCTCGATCGACAGATCGAGTTAGTTTGTGATCATGCCCGGCGTACATTTCTGTTTCTTGTTTGAGTGATCTTTGTCGAGTTCGATGATGTTCTCATGTTGAAACTGTTGGGCTGATTAGTATTCGATAGAGTGGCCTGCATTCTGTTTGTGGTGTAACCTGAAATCAGTATACGTTTAGTTCTGAATTGCTACTGATGACTTGTTGTTTCAGTGAGATTCAGATTCATCAGGTGTCTCAATGCATTCAACTAAAATTTTGAATCTGTAAATGAATTACTAGGTGCTAACATGAATGATAGTTACTGATCTGCAGTACTGACTTCTGTTTCTCTGTTTTTTTAGACTGGTCGACTTCTGTTTCTTTGTGATATTTTGTCCGGTGAGGCATGTGTAATGTCAATGTACCTGCAGGCTTGACATTGTTCCATTCCTATGGTTACTGAATTTGATGGTATTGTACTTCTGAGATTGTTTTCAGTGTCAGCAGAAAGACAAAAACAGTACTTGTTTTCCATCAAAAGTCACTTGCAGGCTTGCTGGCTTGCAGCGGTGTTCTTTGCCTCTGCTTTAAACAAAACTAAATGATCTGGCTCTGTTTAAAGTGGAATTTCTTGCAATCAATTTTAATCCTGTAACTCTGGCAGCCTAGCTAATTTCCCTTGCTTGAAGACTTTAACAATTCTTAGCATGCATTAGTTAGTGTCCAATGCAGAGAATTGAGACTTGAGGACTAACTTATTTTCATATATTCAATGCAACAATCTTAGCATGGCATACAGACCTGTGTAGTGAGATTTGAGAATGATATATAATCAAGTTATCAATCTGAAAGATATGCCAAATATAATCAAGTTCTGATCTGTCCGATTATCGACGTGTTCAAAAGCGCCGTAAATGACTGTGGGCCTGATTCGAAGCCCACGATCTCAGAAGGCCGATAAATTGGAGTAAATCGCGGACCATCCAAAGAGAGGAACAAGTCCACTTTTAGTCCCTCAACTATACGTTGAGTTTCATTTGCATCCCTTATCCGCAAAACCAGATACGGAGAGTCCCCAACTTGTAAAACCAATGCATATCGAATCCCCCCAGTAGTATTGAGAGCTGTTTTTGCTGATGTGACGGCTACGTGGCATGAGAAGGAAAATGGAGTAAAAAGAAAACGGAATTGCTAAAGCTCTGTCGACATAAAATTGAACCTCAAATCTTGCAAATTTTGGATAACTGGATGTGCTTTACGATTCGTGCTCTTCTTCTCCAACTCCGGCGACCACCTCTTCTTCTCCGGCGCCGGCGAACCCAAACTCCGGTAGAGGGCCGACGAATTAGTCCCGAGGTGGGGTGGGGGTGGGAGGAGGGGAGGGGGAGGGGGAGGGGGAAGAGGGGGGGAGTTTGCCAGCTTTAGAGGGATGGCCGTGGGAGACGGCAGCCCAGCGGTGGGCCGCGGATCGGGCGGGCGGCGAGGCACCGGAGCCGCGGGGCTAGAGGACGGCGATGAGCCGGTGTTGGTGGCGGGGCATCTCGCCGCCGACGACTCGAGGAGGAAGGAGGGGGGAGGGGGAGGGGGAGAAGGCTGGCCGGGGGAGGGGGGGCTCGTCGGCGCCGTCGACGCCCTCTGACTAGCCGGCGAGGCGGGCGGCAACGTGGTGGGGTGGTGGCGGCGGGGGATCGCGCGACGGGGACGGGAGGAGTGGTGGCGGCGTGATCTGGACGGGGAGGAGGAGAAGAGTTAGGGTTAAGGGGTCTGCACGAATTTTAAAGCATATCTAATAGTTCAAAATTTAAAAGATAGAAGGTGGGATTTTCATATGTAGACAGCCTCCACGAGCCACCTACCTCCTGCATACATGCATGTGGTTTTAGGTGTACTTCATTTGCTTGGTATTAAATGTACTGAATCCATAGGTCCAATCGATTTCCTTGACCATAGTTCATCGGTTCCTCTTTCCAAGCTACCGCTGTCCGCCGCTTTGAAACCTGCTCTGCCTTCCCCTTGGCTGCGCGCCTGCGCGTGCAGTGAGAGCGTCGAGCTGCTGCTACACTGGCGTCGAGCTGCGTGAAGGACGCCTTGCTGCTCTGAGGCAGGCAGAATGTGAGGGAGGCGCCGAGCGATGAGGTGTTCACGGACTCCGTCGACGGGAGCAACTCCAGCTCTGACGCCGCATCCTCCGACGAGTGGCCGGTGACTATGTCGCCGCCCATGAAGACGGTGGCGTACTACTGCCTCAGTGCCGCATTCTCGGCGCTGAGTCATCGCCCATGAAGATGGCGACGTACTGTTGCGTTCCCAACACAGAGGTGGCCCGTGTTGCCGTGTCCCCCAGTCAGGGCCGGTCCTATGATTTCGAGGGCCCTAGGCGAACTCATCGCGATAGGTCCTCTAAGCTATAAATAAAATTTATTGATATATATAGACGTTAATTTTACTTGCAAAATGAAAACAAGTACATCCATATATTAAATTTAACATACTTGGTAATTATCAAGAAATAAAGTCGACTAAAATAACAATATATTTGTAACTTGAAACTAATATCATTGTTCATTAACTTAATGAAGAATAGAACCCTATTCTATTGCTTCCTATGAAAAGATACTTCTTCTGACATTTCTTGATGCAAAATCATCAAGAACGGTATTAAGATCAATAGTGTCCAAGATATCCTTCTCGATTGAGCACATAGCCAAACCATTTAACATTTCTTGCGACATAGTTGATCTCAAATAGTTCTTCAACAACTTCAGTTTTGAGAAACTTCTTTCAGCTGAAGCTACCGTCACAGGTACGGTTAAGAGAATTCGATAGGCAACTGAAACATTTGAATAGAAATCTGCATCCATAACAAACTTCAGAATCTCAGGTACGGACATCGAAGAATCTGGCAAACTCACTTGCAACACCTTTAATTCTGAATAAAAATCATTGATCTCAACATCAGATGACGTACTAGATTACTAGTATTAGGTGTTGGCCCCTCACCATTATGGGCCCCTCATCATCATGGGTCCATGGCCGTCGCCTCGGCTGCATAGGGCCAGGGCCGGCCCTGCCCCCCGTCGACGCCGTCGCCGATATTAGGTACGTGAAGGACACTGAGTACCCTGAACCTGCCCCGGGATGCTCTGCCGCCGCCAAGAACAACCAGTTCTTGTACACTGGGCCGCCGCCTCCACGCTCACTGGTCGACAAGACTCAAGAACAACGACGTGCAGGCGGGAGAGAATCGAGCTGCGAAGACGAGCAGCACCATGAACTGGCGTCGGTGAGCACCACCTCCCTTCTGCTCGAGCTCGGTTGAGAGCTGGGAGCTTGGCCTCCGAGCACGTTCCACCGGTCGATGGGGTGTATCTGCTCGCTGACTCTCTCCATCCTGTCCTAGTGTCCTCTATCGCCGCCTCCTTCGACCACTGCCATCGGTGCCATTCCCCTGCTTCCCTTTGAGAGAACAAAGAGGCCCAAGAGAGACGGGGAAGCAGGAAGAAATTGACACTTACATGTGTTATAGGACGTTTTGACTTTGGTCAAAGTCAAATTACTTCAAATTTAACTTTGTTTATAGAAAAATATAATAATATTTATAATATCAAATTAGTTTCAATAAATCAATAATTGAATATATTTTCAAAATAAATTTATCTTGGGTTGAAAATGTTATTATTATTTTTCTACAAACTAAGTTAAACTTGAAACAGTTTGACTTTTATCAAAGTCAAAACGTCTTGTAACCTGAAACGGAGGTAGTATATTTTTTGCTACGTAGTCACCACGTGGGATGGAGACCAAGTCAACAAGTGCCAAGTTAGTCAAAACCGCTCTCAATACTGCCAAGGGATTCGATCTGCGCTGGTTTTATAAGTTGGGGGACTCTCCATACCCGATTTTGCGGTTAAGGGATGCAAATGAAACTCGATGTACAGTTGAGGGACATAAGTGAACTTCTTCCCCCAAAGAGATGGAACCCAATGTTACCCAAGGGCCCAGGATTCCCAAATCCCAGCCTGTAAGGCTGTAAACGATTATGGACATTTTGCAAGCTACAAGGTTTTTTTTTATTTAGTAAATTGCACTAGCGTTCCTTAAACTTGTAACTAGGCTTCTCTTAGGTTCATAAACTTGCAAAACGCGCATCAAGATCTTTAAACTTGATTTAATATATCATCCCAGTCCAAAGACTCATTTGACCGTAGTCTTGCCTTAGAGCATCTGTAGTGTAGCATTGGTTTGTTCTGACAAAAAAAAATCGAACGAAATATTGGTTCGATCCCTGCAGTGTGTAAATCGATTTTGATGGGGCCCACCAAAAAAAAGTCTAAGTCCCACCTTTCCCCTCTCCTTCCTCCCACGACCAGGCGGAAAAATCCGTGTGCGCCTATTCTCGTTTTCTCCCTTTCCTCGTTCCCCTTCCTTTCCCCTCTCCCTCCCCAAACCTTCCAAATTTCCAATCCGGTGATAATCCAGAAATTAACCCATGGAGAAGAGCAAATCAGGTCAACCAGCTATGGATCCAAGTATCCAACTAGATCGGATCCTTCACAGCGCTCGGCGCTCGTGTGGCTCGTGCTCGCGGACGATGACATCGCACAAATTTCTTTTTCCCTTTTTCTCTTTCCTTCCTCTACCTCAAGAGGAGGCAGTGAGAGAGACGGTGCCAATCATCGGAGACAGCGGAGTGGTCGTCGGCTGAGCGGAGGCTGGGGGGACGACGACAACCCCGGGCAGCGACTGTGACAACGAGCGGCGTGGTGGCTCCGCCCGAGGGCGACGCGGGCGGTGAAAACGCCGTCGCCCCCTCTCTTCCCCTCCTCTCCTCCGTCTCGCCGCCGCTAGAGCAGCCGCCCTGGTGTAGCGGTTGGGGCACCACGAGACCGGACGACGGGAGCACGACGCCGGTGAGCCTGAATCCGGCCCTTCCTTGGCCGGATTTGGGCTGGGATGAGCGGGACGGTGGCGACGGCGGCGGCGTGTGGGCCACAGGGAGGCCGCAGCGACGGCACGAGGGCCGCGCGGCCGGTCGGGCGGCGGTCGGGCAGTGGCACGACTCCCCGACGGTGGTGGTGGCGACGGCGGCCGAAGGTGCGACGGCCTTCGTGGATGGCGGCGGCGGTGCGTCCTGGCGATTGCGGCCCTGGGCCGGATCTAGACGGGAAGATGCCGGGCCGGCGGCTACTGCAGCAGAAGGTGGCGTGGCGCGAAGGCTGCGGTGCATCAACTGCGGTTGAGGCTGCACGGCATCGGCGTCGGCGTCGACGGCGCTGGAGGTGGCGCAGCGT